AGGAATAATTCAAATGACCCCATCAGAACCACTGCGCTCCCACGGCAAAGGCAAGCAGCCTCCCCATGGGGAGCAACCTCACTTTAAAAGGACACTCGAACCAAAGTATTATCTGGATTGTTGTAATGTTTGAACCACAGGTCAACCTGTGCCAGCGCCTCGGCACCCACAGGGAAGAAGTTCTTAAGATCTCATCTCGGTCTCTCTTCTGGCAGGTTAAAGCCATTCCCCCTCGTCCTGTCCCTACAGGCCCTTGTCAAAACCTTGTAACCCTGTCATAGAAGGCCACTAAATTTGTCAGGCACAATTTGCCCTTAGTGAAGCCGTGCTGGCTGTCACCAGTCACTCCAAGGATCTCAGTCCCTCTCAGCTTTGTGTGTATCACCATCCCCACTTAGAGCTGAGGAAACTGAGAAAGGTAAATGCTTACTTCACAGAGTAGTACGTATTTATAGACTAGATCACAGTTCAGCAAAAGCAGATGACATTAACTGAGATGGGAAGCAACTCTGCTGACAGGTGAGGAGGGAGGCAGAAGGGAACTGTAAGAACTGGGAAGTGATGGTGTGGAAAGGGTGGGTATCCCTGCCAGCTCCCGAGCCAAAGGATATTTGTCTTCCATGCTTATCCACCGAGAGCGGGCGGCGATGCGGGGAGCCGAGGCGGTTTCTGTCACGATACACTCTGTCCACCAGCCCGTGGTGCCGAGTTGTTCTGCTTGTGTCCAGCCCCGAGGACTGAAAAGGAGTCTGAGAGACACAAATGAAATTGTAAGCAGAAAACCACACGCAGGAGCAGCCTGCCCAACCCCAGCCATTTGTATGCAAGGCTGCGTTATTCTAAGGACTGAAACTCAAAAAAGATATGGGCAAGTGTAACCATGTACATGTTTCCTTCACTATCATTTTCATAATAGCCATGGAAAGCAATTCCCAAGGCTCTCTCTTCCAGACAGAGATCAGAGACAAGTGGAGGCAGACCATGCTAGACCTGCCCTGGCATACATCAGCACTGCTCTCCAACCTTTGTAGCTCTGCGATACCACCGTGAGCGTGGCAGGAGCCTCCTGACAACTGCTGGGTCCATTCCCTCGGTGCAGCATGCAGCATGCATCCAGAAGGAACATGCTGACAACCAGAGCTTCAACTACAAGGGCAGGAGATGCAGGAAGGAGATGCACAGTGAGCCTAACGTTCACCGGAACACGCCACGTTCTCTCAGAGCCTCCTTTCTCCCCTCCTCTCGGTGTGATTATTTTAAGGGGACACTGATAGAATTAAAAGAAAAAGAAAAGCAGTTTCCTTCCTCCTCTGTCTAGAAAAAGTTACAGCATCCAGTAAGTGATTTTCGTCTCGCTCAGGCTGCACCTGGGTGGGTTGATTCCACTTTGAGCCCTGTCACTACCATTAACTGGAGAGTGTTCACTTGTCAGTAAGTGAATTCAGAGCATGAGGACGGCAGGGGAGGGACAGGGAAGACGAATTCCCAGGTGAAACTGGAAAACTCCTGTGTTTTCAAAAGCCCTTCCCAGTGTATACCTGTGGGGCAGGAAAGGAAGTACCGAATGGTCCCACTCCAACAGCAATATATGGGTCTCTGGGGGAAAAAAGGCTCCACAGCCTTCCAGTGCTTGCCAATGTGAACAGCTTTGCTGAGTCCCTCAACACCATCTGTTTGGAAATCCAAATTTTCCTCCTCCATTCAGGTGCTGCACGTGGCAAATGCACTGTCCTGTCTGCCAAGCCACAGAACCATCTGGCTCCCATGTCAAGCTTTTGTCTCTGCTGCTTTTCTTCTCTCCAAAGTGTCCAGTTTGGGCTGTTTCACTGAGGATTTCTAACAAGTTTCACAGTTCTTTTTCAGTGTTTGGTTTGCAAGAGCTTTTTAAGAGTCCTTCTGCTATTTAAAACTCTTTCCTATTCAGCAAATATTAGCCTCCTCTCCCTCTAGGCACACACGACCTGGGTTAATACCAACGGATGCAAAGAGGCTGTGGTGTTTATTTGCTCGTTTCAGGGCCAGCACTTTATATGCAGCAGAATATTGCTTAAGTCAACATGGGGCTAGGAAGGGAGCACAGTGACTTTTTACTGTTCTCTCAGCCATTAAGATCATGGTGTTTTGCTCCAGTTCCTCAGCAAATCTGACTTCCTTGTCTGATGACTTAGAAACCTCAAGTCTCAGCATGTCAAATTTAAGTCATTTAAATTAAAACACGTTGGTTTAATCTCTGCTGCAAACACTGAACAACAATCTGGTTCTGCCTAAGTGGCACCACACAGAACTGGGCAGATTTGTAGCTCCAAAGCAACAACAAAAGGTCTCAAACTGTTCCTTGTCCTGTTGTTGCATCAATTCTACCCCAAAAGGCAGCAAAATCCGCAAACACACACGTGCTTGGAAGGTCAACAGGAAAAGCAATTTCCTCTGCCAGTGGTCTCAACCACAGTGTTGCTAAAAAAGGAGAAGCCAGTCTGGAGCATACGGAAGGCAGAGCTCACCTGCAATTTCAAAGGAAGCTGGAGCATGTGAGTGTACAGACAAAGAGCTGAATGCAAACAGTTATTTCTTAAGTTTTCATCTTTTTGGTACAATTTCTGTATTAAAGCCACAACCAAAATCCAATGTGAGCGCAACAGGGGCACAAGGAAACACGGACCAAGCCCCATCACAGGGCAACAACTTCTAGAGCAAGGAATTCTGGGGTGATGCTGTTCTCTGGCTTCCCAGGAACAAGGATCCCAAGTGAATCCCTGACTTGCTTATGGAAATCAGAAAAGAACAAACACTTGATCACCTCCAGGAACCACCCCAGGAAACCTCCTCTGGAGCAGAGACCAGGCAATCCCCATCCCCACAGGGCACCTGGTACTTCATGAGGGTAAAAAGCTGTGATTTTGAAAGAAGAGCAGATCTGAGCATGGATTTGGATGCTCAGAGTCTTCATTTGGAAAACTGAGAACTTGAACTGTGTCGCTCCCCTGAGAGACATTCCAGGATTTGAGATCAGAACTAGAACTCCACCAAACACTAAAAAATAAGAGAAAAAGACAGACAGGAAGGAAAAAGCTCTAAAGCAACAGTGTCCCTTTAAGATTTATCAAGACATTTACTTCTGAAGTAAAAACAAGTGAGGTGGCTGAGGGGGAAGGAGGGGAGTGGTACCTGCTGCCAGTTCACATCTCAGTGCCTCCTGGTGACAAGCAGCATTGGGTCATCATTCTGCCTTTCCCAATGGAGCTCTGCATGCAGGCTAAGAGCACATGCTTGGAGATTGCTTAAATCACAGGCCAAGACAGTGCAAATAAACCACCGTCTGCATCAAATGAATCCCCCATACACCAGAAGTAACCACATGACAGACCACAGCAAGTCCAGGGAATCTGTACAGAGCTTCTTATGCATGTTCCAAACTGGGATGCATGGCAAAACCTGTATTTATGTGACAGACCAGGACTCCTCTGGAGCTGGGACGGTGAATCAAATAAATACTGTGCATAGCAAAGTGTAACGGGTGCTATAATACGTATCTGCCTGGGCAAAAGCACTCCAGTCCCAGATACGTATCTGCACAAACCTAAGAGCTTGTTTACCAAAGAGACAGGAACTGCTCCAAAGGCTTCTGCCACAGCTCCGTTGTGCTGTAAATGCAAAGAACCAACATTCTCAGACACTAACACTCCACCAGACAGGCTTCCCCTGATCCAACAAGTATCTGCTGGCAATTTCATCCTATTTCAGCTTGAAATCGAAAAACCTGGCCAGCATTCGGCCCCGATTCAGATACATGGGTTCATGTTTTCACTTGTCACTGTTTGTTGTCTGTAACAGGATCAACTTTGGGTATTTTTTGGGGGATGTGTGTGAAAACTGTGCAAACCCTGGAGTTTAAGGATGAGTTGGTTCCGTCTCATCCTCCAGTCACTTCATAAATGTTTGAATACTCACTTTCAAGCTCCCTGCTAGTTCCAGGGCTAAAGGAGTCTATGGAATAACTGTCATTAACGGCCATCAGGCACAGAAATCCTGGAATGCTGTTGCTTGAAAAGAACAGGAACCATGAACCTCCTTCACAAGAAACTACTGATAAATCCTTGAAGAGCTCAGCCCCCTGGGGAGTCATACCCAGGACCCGGTGACATTACAAACCCTGCACTGTTCCCTGGAGGCAACCAGACTAAAGCAGCCATTTGGTTCTCCCCTGCACAAGACTCCAGCTTTTAACCTCCACCAATTCAGCTGCCTACATGGACTTCAAAAGGCTGTTAGAGGACATCATCAATAGTTTCTCTGTATTTATTAACACAGTCTTCAGCAGAAAACCACAAACTGCAACTTTTCATTCCTGCCACATCCTTGTGAGGGAAAATGTAAATGTTACTACTCAAAAAAAAAGAGAATTAATGCAGGAACTTTAATTATTATGAGTACCCTAAATCAACTGATTATAGAAATCAGGAGTCCCAAAAGCATCCATCACCTAATCCTAGCCCCTGCACATCATCTTCTGCCCAAACATGCTTACTAACAGCAAAGCATTCTCAGGAAACACTGATATTCTCTCTGTGGTGCATTACCTCTGGAGTCACAACAGCAGGGGAAAGAAAAGCCAGTACATCCCTACATCTACTTTACAGCCAGCCCAAAGAAAACTGACTATTCTGATACCAGTCTGTGTCCCATTCCCCCTTCTCCTCTCCCAGAATCCATGCATTGCTCCCATGGAACATGCACCCCACTGGGGGGTACCTTCTTCCACACCCCCATTGTACTTTCCACATCACCTGGCATTATTTGCTTCCATCTCCTAGGTGAGGCAAAAATAGCATCCAGGCACAGCATTAACCAACACAAAGAAAGAAACGCCCTGCACAAAGAAAGCAGCTCACCTGGAAGGGGAGATCCATGGCACTGTTCCCAATCTGATTCACATTTGGCAGTGACCCACCGTAGTACTGGCCACGACTCTGTCCCAGTTGCAAATACTGGGTTTTCTGCAGCTGTAACTAAAAGAAGAGGAGGAAAGTGTAAGGGGAACTTGTTATTTTCCAGCTGGTTTAAGTGACTCAACTCAACAGCGTGTCGTTACCACCGAGAACGGACATCATCTATAAACAGCATGAACTCAGCTTCAGCGAGTGAATGTCAACCTCCTCTGCAAAGCCCAGCTGGCAAACTGCCACCTCAGGTCTTGTGTGAGAGTGTGAAGAGATGGAAGATAAATCAGCTCCATAGTCAGCAATCATATTTAATTTCCAACAAATAACCACCACGGGAAACCAGACGGTTCTGTGTCGCCTGCCCCTCTCAAAGCCGGGACGCAAGGACCCGTGTCAGTCTGGTCATGGCTCTAATACCAAAGCGAACCAGCTGCTCGTGTGTGTGAGATGCAAATCAGTCACCTTCATTTAGGGTATTGAGGATACTGCTCAATGAAACACTCAACCTTCTAGCAATCCAGGTGATGGAGGTGTTAGAGCAAGTGGCAGCTTTGCACCATTAGGTAAGAGGTCTGGCTTCTTGCACCAGGAAAAGCCCTGGAGGAAGGGCAGAGACACAGGATTTCAAAGACAACTCAACCAACCAAAGAAAAAAGAGCAAAGAATTCCTTACTGACCAGGTGTACAGGAAACTAAATGTGACACTCTGCAAAGGCTCAGTAAGTGCCAGGGATCACTCTTCAGTGCTGAATGAACCTCGTAGAATATTGCAGTAAGTGATCCCATAGTTGTACACGTTGCTGGTGTCCAAGGTGTGCAAGAGAGAGCTGCTGTTTCTACTCCAATGCCAACTTATTTTCCCTGTCACTTCTTTCAGAAGGGTGCACTGCTCAACAGCTCTTTAGTGAGCTACAGGTTTTGATTCAACTCTTCTCAGTGGCCTCTCACTATTTTTTACTTTAGTAGCACCAATATTTAAAACAATTTCTCACTCAGTTCTGTGGTTCTCACTCATCACATCTACATTTAACACCACACTGGCACCAAAGCCCTATTTTACACTGATAAAGCAGAACTTGCAATCATCTGAACCCAACAGTCCTGCTCCCAAGGATGCATCTTTCAAGGACTCAAGAAACTACACTTAAAGTAGCAAAGAAATGAGCTTACATAAGTCCCTCTCCTCCCACTGCGGAGGAGTACGTATTTTATAATGTATGTTGTTCCTCACTAGATGTCAACTGGCTGTTTTTGCACTCTGAAATGCAAGAACATTCCTAGATTGGTAGCAAAGAATTGTTTAAAGACTAAATGTTCAGATCTTGGACTAGATGCAGGTTGGTTGCTAAGGTACTGTTGTGTGTACATCAACAAATCTGCTTTAGTTTCATTCAAGTCAATGCAAAGCCTTTGCCTCACAATGCCAGGATTTTGAAGAGCAAAGTTGGGAAAAGCACTAGAAAAAGCAGGATCCCCCCAAATGGGTGTTTATTTACAGAGCTGGGGTTTCTTTTCTTTACACTTTCTTCAAGCAAAGTGAAATGGCAGGATGGAAAGAAGTGGCCCTGCCTCTACAGCTTTACCACAAAGGCCCTGAGGTTGAGTGAAGATGTTTGTAGAGAAGGGAAGGAAGAGCTGGTGCTTTCCGTGTTGACAATGAGGCCTCTGATAAGCCAGCACTAACACAAGCAGAGATGCTGAGTGGTGCTGACAGTGAAGATACTACACTGCACACCAATAGCACCGAGACGGGGCACAGAGAAAAGGGACTGCTCTGCCTAGATCATGCCAACACTTCGGGTATATGGACTAAGATAGTCCTTGAAGAGAGGAGGAGAAAACAAGATCACCCTGAATATTCTTTAAAGCTATCCCTAGGAAAGCAACTCAAATACCTTTAATTCACAGAATCTCCCCTGGAAGCCACCAATTTCCAAATACACACGCAGCTGAGGGACTGAATTAATCCAAACCTCACGACACAACTCGTGGAGATGACACCTCTCAGTGGAACGGGCGCGCTCAGAACCCTCAGCAATTCGGGCTCACAAAGTGGCTCACGGGCTTTTGACTTAACAAAAGGGCAGATAAATCCCTGAAGCCCAAAGACACAGAAAACATTCAGAGTGTGCTGCATGAAACAGTTCAGAGACTTCACCTGGAAAGCAGGAACACACACACACACACCCCCTGCTTTTCTGGTGCCATCTTTTGACAACCCAGCAATAGATGGGATGAGGGAAACGCTCCGTGAGTCACAGCCCCTCAAACTCTGAGCTGCAGATCCCCAAAAGCACAACATCAGAACTAGCTGTGCTTTTTGCCTGGCCTGTACATATGGTTTTGTTGTTAAAAAAAGGCTTGCTTGGGATTTGTGCCAAACCTTGAAGTAACTATTCCAACAGGTGTTGGTTTCTTTTAAAGAACCTACTATAAGGCACCCAGGAGGGGGTGTTGCTTTATGGGTTTTTAATGTTTTGGCCCTCCCTAGTCTATACCTACCTCAAAGCATAATGCAACAGGGAGGTCACGACCATTTGTCTTTCCGCTGCAGTTAAAACCATGGGAATGAGGAAACACAAGAGATTGAGAACTACAGCACTTCTCAGAACAGGGCTCACTGAGAGCCTTTGCTCTATCATCAATTTTAGGAGCATTACCTTCGATAAACGCTTCTGGAGACCTGTGCCAAAAGGAAGAAAACCGATTGCTTGTTATTGCTCTCATATATCATGACACCAGTATGTAGATCTGTGTTTGTTCCTCTCTTCAGCCTTTGAACAGTGAGTGGCCCCCAGACTACACAGTTTATTGGAGACCATCAACAACTGCCACTTGCAATCTGTGAAGATCGAGTGCAAGCAGAGCAGCCCAGCTTGGGAGTGCCTCACATCTCCACCTCTGTAGCTGAAGAAAGCATTTGGAAATACTGTGATGTTAAGACATTACTGTCATTCCAAGGAAAATCAGCTCATGTTTTTCAATGCAGAGGATCAGCACAAACAACCTACAAATTTCACTGTCATGCTTTGAGGTAAGTCAGGAGTCTCGAGTCTTACTAAGGGGACCTGTGAACAAAGAAAAGCAGCACTGAAAATGAAATGAGACACTGGTTGTGACTAACATGAACACTTCTGCTTCTTCCTGTACCTTGTGAGGTGCATGAAGTATATTGCACAATCTGGGGCTTGGGGTTGGGTTTGAAGAGGGGGATTATGGGTTTTATTTCAGAAGAAATAAAAAGGAAGAAGCCTTTTCTTAACGGAAAAATTCAGATTACTCTTCAAATGTTAACAAGTCTCATGACAACTCCAGCTTCATCTCCTGGGCTTACATTCAATTAGTGGCAACTTGCTTTCTATATGAATTCAGATAGTGAAGTATGATAATGAATTACTTAGTGCTCACCAGATATATTAATTTCTTGAACCACGAGAACTCAGTGACTCCACATCACAGCTTCTCCAGTTATGTATTATGTGGCCAAGATAACAGCTCCTCGACAGCTGAAAATACTCCTAAATATTCCAGGTCTTTCCTGAGAAAGCTTTTGGTAAGGGAAAAGCTTTTGCTTGTTAAACTATTTCATTTCTGCTTGGCATTCTTGTTCAGAAGATGTTTCCCAAATGACAGCTCCTAACTGAATTGGTAATTTCCCCTCCACCAACATGTCTCTTCTGCTACTTAAAGAAAAACAAGATGATTTTAAGTTGAAGTCCAATGTAAGCATTAGAAGTCATAGAGTTCTGCACAAGCAGTTGTCTGGAATACCTGGAAATGTTCCCCTGTTGAAAGGCTGACACAGTGTCAGTTCACCAGTTTGGGAGTTATGTTAAAACCAACAGATCTCCGCAAAGGTGCAGGAGCCAACAACCTGCAAAGAGCAGCAGCATCTTCACAGCAGCAGGAAGGGACTCATCTCCTTCCCATGTAGCAATTAGGAATTTGCAAGCAATTACATCCTAAACTCAGCTCACAGTGGAGTAACATGACAGCACCTTCCTGTGGTGACTGGAATTGGGCACAGAGCTGGTGAGAATCAGAACTATCAGACCTAACACCAGCACTGCCTTGCTAACAACAAACGTTATTCCAGACACCAGCTTTCGTGTGACCCCATTTGTATGAACTACCTCAACTGTTCTGTTGAGGCTGGGTTAAAGTTCGCTGCATAAAGTTCTGCTTGCAGGGAGAGATTCAAGTTACACAATTAAAAATTGCAAGATTAAAGGAGAGAAAGTACCCCTAAAAGGATATCCAGCTTTCCTGCAGGCTTTCTAAGTGCCCAGAACATGCAGATGGGAACCAAAGGAAGCATTTATTAAAATTCAACACTTCAACTTCCCTAAATTCTTCCACCAAAAAATTGGGGCAATTATAAACTTATGGACAGAACTTCACTGCAATCAAAGGGCAAATGTGACACCGGAATTCAGTCCAAACCCCCCCAGAATCCTTTCTGTCAAAATGCCCTTTTTTAATACGTAAGAATTTGATTCCCACAACTGTAATAAAAGGGTGGAGTGTCCGTTTGATAAAACCCCCAAGAGATCTGATGAACACAGGAAGTAAGATTTCACGATAACTGCTCTGCTGCCGCTCGCACTTTCCATCTCAAGCTCTCTTATGAATTGTAGCTTTGCACTTCAGAAAGCTCCCTCCTGCTTGCTCAGGCTGATCAGCACCAAAACGAGTGTAGATTAAAATGAAAAACGCATTCTTAAAGCTTAATTGCAAATTAAATTCTGTTTAAAGGATTAACTGGAAGTTTTAGAGGCTGCATTAGTTAAATCCTGTTGGTTCAAACCAGTTCAAAGCCTCCCGTTGGTCACGTCTAAAGTTTCTCAGGAAGGCTTTCTCCTGAAGCACCCAAAGGTAGGAGGTGCCACAGGAAAGGACAGACAGTTGTCCAGCGTTCTTAAACCAAGTGGGATTGATTTGGCATCCTCAGGAGCACGTCGCTGCTATTTCCTGATCTCCCCCTAGGAAGGAACTCACTGCCCGGCTCTTGGTAGCAAGAAAAGGCGCTGATATCACTAATTTTGGCCTCTACAGTAAAG